CCGGTTGAACCGTGTTGTAGTTCACGATCCCTGTAGGAGTGCAATTCACGAGTATCGGCGGACACTCACTTGGGCTTGATCCTGTCTAGTGCACGTTATCGGCTGGCACAGCTCGGACAATCCTTCTGGTGTTGAGGTAACGAGTAAGCTCAGGCTCAGACATGACAAATCCGGATGTGCCTCAACTCTCTGCCATGGTCGTGAACGAGTTCAAGGCGCGGAGCACATGCGCTTTCCATTTTGGCCGGGATGCAACTCCACATTCCTCCAAATCGTTTCTTCTCCTGGCACAGTCTAACAGGCGGCATGTCTTGGAGGTGTCGACTTGCTTGGACAAGCTATCAGCGCAACCTGCTCGAAACAGATCTGTGCTGAGTCGCCCCACGACTTCGGTCGAATTTCGTGAGGCTTCCGCGAGACCAGCACTAAAATCTGCTGAGCTTAGGTACCAAATATTGGCGACTCTCGAAAAGTCCGCCCGCTACACCGGAGCGCGAAGCTGCATTAGGACGGCACCTTAGATGGGTGATGATGCATTGCCATCAATAGTTCTCCACATTACCACTGTCTAATGAACAACGTTCGCCAGCTTTCGTGTTTCGGCTTAAACATACCCAGCATTATCATGGTATGGTACTGTGTTTCTTATCTTACACAATCTCAGCCGGAGAATGTACTGTCGCTCATGCCAATGCCTCAAGGCCTGTATGCATGTGGCAATCCTACACTACATCTGCACATGTCTACACGAAGAGAACCACAGTCAGGGACCCAATGTTGGCGAGCTGATGTCAGGAAGATTGAGGACCCAAACATGCACATATCTGTGCCTCAGCTCTGTCTCGATCGGCGTGGCCACACAGCTCGAAAGCAAATCCATCCAAGGCTCCACAAGCCCTTCTCCGTCACCGCACCACGCGTGCGTGTCCCGAAGCAGCTGCCCTGCCCGAGTGCAAATCGCGCCGAGCATCGGAAAACAAACAGAGGTTGAACAACTCGGCACGGTGACCTTCAAGCCTCTCTGGCCACCAACATCATCAGTTCATCAAACATCATGTCAACACTCTGGGGCAGTATACACTGACACAAGAAGCCAGCAATGCCAGCAAATCTTCTTCCATAGCCTTCCCAGCCCCCGGCTTATTTGCACCCGGTTCCCTTGGCCACCACCACGTAAGCCCAAGCTCAGCACAGTGCTTTTCACGGGAGTTGCAGACCAAAGAAGGCTCCGATGTTCGGCTTGGAGGCACACATGCCTCTGCATCAAGGGTGTCCAAGATCTGATGGTCCTTATTCCCTTGACCTAAGTTGTATGTCGCCCCGACTTGGGGCAGCTGCAGCTTTGCACAGCCCAGGACTCCGGCCACAGGCTTTTCCTCCTCCTCCGCCATCGTAGTCGTGCGACCTTTCAAGCATCTAGCCCAGATGCGACGCTTTCAGCGCCTATCAGAGGGCAACAGGGGCACGCGCCCTCGCGGAGCAGCCATGTGCACCGGCAGCCCCACTGAGCCGGAATGCAGCAATCGTGGCGGATATTGAGATTTGTTTCTTCAGCTGCTGCAAGACTCCAGTTGTTGCATCGCGGACACTGTTTTGGAACTTTGCAATCGCTCTTTCGTCGACTGCAAAAACAAGCGTCTTGAATCTATATCAAACCTACGCCATCCTACTCCGACGGACATCGGGGGCCCTACAAAGCCCGTCAAGGGAACGCACTTGCAGGTAGCTCTTGCTGAGAGGCGTTCCGGGAGCCTGCCGAACATCTGCCATGCATCTCGCCAACACTTGGCCAAGCGTCGGTCAGGCGAAAAACCCAGCTTCACGGGTGCATGTTTCAGTCACTTGACTGGCAACCCGTGGCGCACAACCTCACTCCTTCAAAGGCTCCTTTGGAAAAGGAGGCTTCCCACCTGTGCCAAGCCTACCCTGTGAGAGGCGAAGCTGTGCAGCCACGGGGTTTGGTAGACAAAACGATTGCCGAGCCGGTAGGGCCGGGCCCTTGGGATTAAATCAGTTCTCTCGCTACGCCTTCTAACATTACCTGCGAGAGATGCAGGCAATAAAAATCTTGGCCCCCACTCGATATCATTATCATTATCTGCTAAGGATTAGCAGCGTTTTTGGAGCTTCAACTCTCATGCCCCAGGAGCTTAAAGTCCTCGACCTTGGGGATGCTATGATGTGTCCGTGCACTCCGGATATATGCTAAGGCGCGTTCTGGACGTGCATGCCAGACATCAAATTACATAATACATGTGCATACACGCCCATGTGTTGGGAAGGATGTGTAGAGAGACATTGACACTCGCCAGCTCAGATTATCGCTACATGTATGAGCAATGACAAATAGAGACATAGTGCGAAAGGGCTATTTCTTATCTTTCTTGTATCTGTCTGTCTTTCTATCTCCATACCTAGCTATGAGTAATCTAACCTAACTGATCTTATCCCGTGCATACTGTACCTGTCCATCTGCCTGTCTGCATCTCTTTTTACCTACCTACCTATCCACCTGTCTATCTATCGGTCTGTCTACCTATCCATCCTATCTGTCTGTCTGTCTGTCTGTCTATCCGCCTGTCCGTCTGTCTAGCAGTTTATCGATCTGTCCATCTGCCGATCTATTTATCTCTCTGTCGAGCGATGTCTATCTAGCTGTCTATCTGTCTGTCCGTCCGTCCGTCTGTCTGTCAAATTACCTACCTATCTGCTACCTATCTGTCTATCTACCTAGCTATATAACTCGCTCACCCACTCGCTCAAACATGTACTGGTTTACTTGTTGATGCATCTGCTTGTTTATAGTCATACTAGGAGCTAGGATCAACTGGTTCGTGTACTTGTATTTTTTGGAACTCGCGCTCGACGGGGTCAGGCGAGGTTTATGGCGACACAGCTGGTTAAAGCGGGCTCGTTCCGAGCCACACATACACACGACGGCTAAGCTTCCATATGATAGCTAGTCACAACAAGGAACCAAACAGCACGGTACAGAGAGCTCTTGACACACTAAACATGCGGTGCTCTTGTAGGCCACTTATGCCCTCATTACAATTGAGGCGCACACACACACAGACTTACACCTAAACTTGTAAGTGCACCTATGCTCGTGCGATACGAGTAGCTTTGGGCAGCCAGTGCTTCGAAGATTCAAGAGGCGCCGCTCAAGCAGCCTAGGCCACGAAGTGCTGAGGTACTCCTGCCGGCCTCAAGGGTCTTGAGCCCGGCCCAGGGTTCTGCGGCTTTTGGAGGGTTCGAGGCTTCAGCGGAATTAGGGCAGCTCTGCGTAACTGCAGTCTCTCGCCGGTTTTTGGAGAGCCACTCCCTGTTCTCGAAGAGGGGGTACAATGGGGTACAGCATTATATTATAATATATTATAATTGTAATATATGATATTATATGATCTTATATTATATACCAAAGCACAAACAACCTTCTCATCGACACCACGGGCAGCCTCAGGGCCCGGTGGCCTTCGGGCAGTCCTGGCAGTTCCAGGCATGCGGACGGTTGGTCAAAATGCGAGTCACCGAATCACCTGCCGACAGATGATTCTACAGAACCAACTGTGCGAATCGCACGATCCTAACCCCCCCCCCCCCTAACAAGGATGTAGGTTACCACCCTGCCACCCGACGGGTTGTAGCGGTGGAGGAAGAGCCTCTGATCGTGGTTACATCTCGTACTTCATGTACTTCAGCAGTATGACCGTCATGGTTCAGCAGCAGGTTCCGTCACACCGATCCACTCTGGCCTGCGAGTGCTTCTTGATCCACCGCCAGGTCAGATTTATGCGGGGTCCTTGCGGGCAACAGCGCTGCAGGAAATTCTCTGGCAGCCTTCTGCACGCATGGCACTAGGACCCTTTCAGGGTGAAACAGGTGAGCATCCTCAGACAAGATCTGACATCCTCACACCTACGAGTACCTGTCACCAAAGCCTCTGATCTACTCAGGCCCTGGCCAAGATCATCTGCCTCGCGAGGAACTCGGTGCATGTAGTGCTTTTGCAGCATCCCCTGCGTCCAACGACAGAATCTGAAATTGACGGTCAGCTCGCTCCCTGATTCCCCTTCACACTGGTCTTCCGCCCACCAATCAGGATCGGTCCAATGACCAACGGGTCTTTGCCTACACCGCCCTGAACCCGAGGGGTGACAGGAACTTCCCGGGAGGCTGTGGACTCGCTCCCTCTTTGGAGAGGGAGAGCCCTGATCCAAAGCATGAGCATCAGCCGCAGTGGAGCCCCGGTTTTCCGCAGAGTTTCCATTGAAGCGCCCGCCTGCTGTCCTAGGAAGCCCTACGCTCTTCGGTGAGCTTCGATGCGTTGCACATCTGTCAGCTTTTCCTACGGAGGGATTGAGTGAAGCGAGTGAGCAACTCCTCCTCCTCCTGGGTGATCCGGTCTACTGGATGCCCCAGGCGACCAATCAAGGACAGTCCGGAACTTCCGAGAGTGAGTCGACAGTAAAGCTCCCCAAGTCAAGAGCCTCCATGGTGGCGAGGGCGCCTTACAGGCATGCTCGAACAGCCCCGTTCCTCACACCCTGACACACTCCAAGTCTTAAACCTGACACTTACCAAGCCTTTTTCTTCGCCTCCCCACACCACGTGGACTAGTGCTTCACAATCGCGAGTGGCCGTGACGCTGAGACAGGCTCCAACATCCAAAGCTTCAAGCCGAGACACCGTTTCCGAGGTGAAGGCGATCCTGGATCTTCTCACCCGCCTGCCGAATTTGACTGGGGTCTTGGAATAGCATCACATGGAGGTCCATGAAGTTACTGTGGCTTTTGGAACCTTCTGTCAGCTTACAGCCTCAAGATGAGAAGCTCAGAAGCTTCCGCTTCAAACCCTCAAACCGCAGCTTGCAGAGCTGCCATGACCCGTCGCAGAAGGGAGAAAGGAGACACGCAGACAGGATTAAAGCATGAGGACCGTTCTTCTTGTGGCTTCAGGCTTTGACTGCTCTTCCGGGCGGGATACGAAGCATTTAGCCTTTACATGCCCATGCACAAAAACGGCGGCCGCCGGCTAGTGAGGAGCGCTACGCCAAGCTGAACCAAACCGTCCTCCGGCCAGTTCTTCCTCAGATCGAACTTCCTCTGCTGTCCAAGCGACCTCGAGAATTGAAACGGCAAGCTCGCCCGCAGGGCTTTTCTGCGCAGTGACATTGCTCTAGATGTATCGTTCAGGAGCAGAAAGCCATAGCAAGCCTGTTGTGCTTGAATCAACCCAAGATGAAAGAGTCCAACTCTGCTGGAATTCATGACACACCCGATGCTCTCAGCCATCAGCAGCGAGATGATTCGCGTATCCTGGAGCAAGCCCTGGAACAAGGCCTCCCACGCAGGTTTAGTATTGGCTGCGTTTGGAGCACGTGCAGCAACACGACAAATAGCATCGAACAGGAAGCTGCTCTGCTTGAGGCTATACTTGCTGAGCTTCTAACGGCTTAGCTTCCAAGGAAGAGGTGTGCTAGAATCGCTACACCTGTCCAAGAACAGTAAACCAACCCTGGAGTTTGGGCTATAGCTGGGCTATGGGTGCACGCCCACCACTCTAACAAGTTATGACTCCTTTATCACACGGCACCTCGTCATCAGAGTGCCAGCCCACAGAGTTCGAGCCATCCTCGTAGAGGTTGACATTGCAGCTATCAGGCCTGATCGTGCTGGTCCCATCTGGTCCCTACAGCTCGTGCAGTCTCTTCAAAGATTAGCGCTCTTTTGTGGCTGCCAGACGACGGAGGCTCGAGCACTGCTCTTGTGAAAACACAGACAACTTTAATACCACAAAGGCTCTAAACCTGTGAAAATCCATAACTTTAATCAAGCCCGGGGCAGCCTGCTTGTTTTCTTTCAGTAGGGGGGGTGCACCAGAGTGTGCACTGAGGATGCAGCCAGTCCTCCTCTCGCTGGAACCCGCAATACGGCATGTAGGTTCCTGGGGTACCAACAGTTCCAGCATGTTCCATCGTGCCAAGTGGGGGCGCGTGTGCTCCGATGCAGGCAAGCATCGAAGAACATCGCTCATCCAAGAAGGAAAGACCTGCACTCTGCTGGCAACGTCAGCTGCCATGCCATGCTGAAGCCTACACAAAAGGTTCTCACGCATTCTGCAAAGCGGAGTGCGAAAGCCGCCTGTGGCTCCACCAACACGCCTGGCACATGCTTGGGAATGTTTCGACTCGCAGAAGCCGTGCCCCTCGGCCGTGGCCTCCGTATCTGTAGGGACAGGTGCAACCAGGCCGGACCTCGGAGTGAAAAGTCCACGACACGGGTCCGTGCCACTCTGACCGCCGAGGAGGCCGCCATCCAGGCCGTCTTCCTTGGCATTAGGCCCTGCGGGCCATCGGGCTGCAGCCACGTCGTGCCATCCTGCTGATAGAAATGCCAGGCTCAGCGCCAAAAGACGACAATGACACGGCGGTCCCGAATCGTTCTGAAAAAAGCCTGGAGGCGTTGTTGGGGCACCTAAGACATGCCCAAAATGATCCGCCTGTCTGTGGGATGGAGCAGAGACAGACCGGTACTAAGCTTCCCACCGGCGAGGGCATAAAGGCCGCAAAGCAGCGCCGAGACTCGTCGTTGAGGACCAGCCGCCATGGAAGAGACTGGTGGACAGAGGAGATGCTTGAAAAAGCCGGCCAAGTGATTTGGGTGACATCCGTTGCCGAGTAAACTATCCTACACTGTGGTGGGGCTGCGTCTGTGAAGTTGTCAAGAGTTTGTGAAGCCACGTCTGAAATGCATTTTGTCTGGGGACCCCATACAGCCGGGCAATCAAGGCTTCATCCGCCAACTGCCTTGGGCGCAGCCTCCGATATCAGCTTCAAGCCGTTGGATTCACGGGGCTCCTCGAAACACAGCTGGGAATTCAATGAAACCCGTTCTGTTTGCATCAGGTTGCATCATGCATCCCTCTGGCGGATCGAAGCATGTTGCTAAATCTATTATTATTACTACTATTATTACTATTATTATTATGATTATTATGATTATTATTTTTTATTATTATTTTATTATTATTGTTATTTTATTGTGATTGTTATTATTGTTGTTGGCCTTCGTGGTTAAGCAACCACCATGAGCGCGAGTCATCGTGCAGTCCTCCCAGGTCTCGCCCCACTTCGGCGGTGGCTCTCCCGGACCTCTCACGCTGCATCTCTTCCACAACTCAAGCAGATTTCTGGAAGCATGGCATGCCCTAGGCCCATCAGGGATTGGGATCCTAGAGCCGCGGAATGCGCAAGTGCCGTCTCGTCCCAATTGTGCGTGAATCATCTGCTGAGATGCCGGCTCTTCCTGGCCAAGTGCAAGTACTAAGTCTTGTCAAGAACATTTGCTGTACGGCGGTACGCAGAACGCCCTTCAGGCTCGGCATTTGATCTCGGCACTTTTCAGAAGAAATCGCGCCAGAAGTGCGGCTTCCTATTCTTCCTTCTCCTTGGGTGGCAGGCCCGAAAGAGTTCTGCTGAGAATCGGGGCTTCTGCAGCAGAAACGTCAGCCCTGTCTGGCCCAAGGCTCTTCTTGGCGCGGGCACCCCGGCCAGGGGATCTGCTACGGCCCCTGCCGCAAACGGACAACGGAGCTTCGAGTCTCCCCCGTGACTCTCAAAGCTCGGAAGCCTGCGTCCGTCTGCTCCTGGCAGCTCCAAAAGCTGCAGAATCGAAATCTAAGCACTTTCCGAAAAGTCCTCTTCGTCTTCCTCTCAGCCGGTCTCTTCCCCCGGATCGCGGCCTGCCCTGGCGTTAGGAGTATACAGTCTGACAGGAGGGGCCTCCAGATGCTCAAGTATTAACATTTACCATAACATCCAGAAAATCAGTGGCTCCAGGATCGACAACAACTTCTCGGGTGACCATCGCTTGTCCTTATGCCCCACACTCTATCAAACTCTGCCAAAATCGCACAGCAACCTCCTGCTCGCAATATTCGTTTTCATGACCCACATGCTAGTGGTGCCGATTGTAGTCTAGTTGGTTAGATCTTGAGCGAAGTTCGGTTCAAAAGTCTTCTGTTCTCTTCCCCATCCAAATCATTTTGGACAGAAGCGGCCTCCATTTTGCCGTATCCAATGTCACGGCCGTACGATGGAGGCGGCCCGTACCTACAATGAAAGCGTCTGGCAAAACGAAAGTCTGCACTTTGATTTGGGCCCCTTGGGCTCCAAGTCCCATTTGCAAATTGCCATAAACGCAGCCAGCACCTTTTCTGCCGTAGTTCTGCGATGGGGAAGTATCATTTGCACTCCGGGCCGCTCCCGAATTTGATGCAACTTTCTTCCCACTCGACCTTGTCGACAAGATGGGAATGCATTATGGTAAAGGATACAGCCGGCGGCGTATGGAGCGCCGCATGGGCCGAGCCGCAAAGCAACTCTGTTCTGCATGCGGCTGAGATCATGTTCTCTACGCAGATCATAAAGTTGACAGTCTTACACGACTTGTACAATATCTCTGCAATATTTTAAGGTCTGTCTACTTACCTCGGCCTCGGCTAGCAAGATCCTGCGCATCAACGCGAAGCCTACGGAGCGCTGCAGCAAAGGTGCGACACATCGCCGCTGTTGCAGGCCTTGGCTTAGCATAGTGCCATGGGCATACAGTCTGGCATGCGAGATTCAATGTCCTCCCAACATATCCCAAATCCTTGGTGCAGAACCGAGATTGTCGACGCTGGCGTTGGCAGCTTCAGTCCCATTCGAGATGGTGGCATCATAAGCGTCGCAACAGGTTCTGTGGCGGTGGCCGCGGGCGCGGGCTGGTAGATCCTCGGCGAGGGCTTCCAGATCCCGGCAAACCTTTCCTATCGCCAAGACCTTCTTCTATTTCCTATGCGATAAGGGGCCTTGGGGAGATGTGCACAGGCGGTGGCGTCTGGGCCCTTGGTGGACTGGTGGCAAGCGGACTCGATGGAGCCCTTAGCTGCTGTGGCCCTTTCGAATTCGCACCGTGCACTTTCGAGTCGGTGACACGATGCGGAAGTATCGGTCAAATTCGGGCAAAGCCATATAAACTGCTGCATCTTGCCGCGGTTCAACGCCGAAGCTGCAGAAACATATCGGAACACCGTTGGCACCTGAGGGCAAATCCGCCAAGCTTTGTAGGTGCTCTGCTAAAGCTTCAGTTCCTGATCAGTACGAAATGGTCTTTCCGGTCTTTACGCAGCAGTTGGGAATAAACCCCGCAAACCTCCAGTTCCGCCACACCAGCACAGTGCAGTAGCATGGCTGGGATTGCATCCCGTTGGATACTTTATTCGTGGGAGAAAACCAGAAGTGAGACCTACCAAAGACTCTTGCATTTTAGCATGGCCCGGCTTCACAGTCAGTCCATGTTCATCCATTGCGCTGGGTGCTGGTTGATTCACTCAAGTCAAGCCGAGAGGCTGCTGGACTTGCAACTCCTGGTGGGCCTTGAGCAAGATCCGTCCCACAGCTTCCTGGTGCAGGATACCATCAACTCCAAACTGACTGCAACACTTAAATTCTCGGGCCTTCTTGGACACTTGGAGGGGAAACGGCCACCATCGCAAGGGATGGTGACCGCTTGGCATCTGGCGGAGACATGTAAGGAAGCCTTGCCGGCTCATTGCTGCCTTCTGCAATCTCGCGTGCCGACACTATAGATCCTCAAGCTCCTACTACTGAGTTGCTACTGCAGCCGTGTGGCGGCTGGCCGAACCCCGGCGGCATCGACACCAGCCTGCGCGATTAGACGACTATACCGACGATAGATATCCAGTGGGCGTTTGGTGCACGCCTTGGTGGCGATGCGTACCGGATCGGCGATGTGGGACGGGATTGTGCCTTCACAGATTCAGTGTTTCTTGATCGCCAATGCGGAATCCAGGCTGCAAAAAAACGCCATTTTGCCACAAACCCCGGCCTGCCACGAACCTGCAGTTGACACGATGAGTGTTCCTCATCCTGTCTCCTACTGGCAACGGTTATACGGGTGCAGGAAAGGCACCGAAGGCTTCCTGGTTGATAGCAATGAAGCGGCCAGGAGGATAGTTGGCATAGTTGACGGGGGCAGACAACGTCACCTCATGACTGATGTGAGAGGCGCATCGACACACCCTGCCACCGTTCTGATACTTCATTAGCAAGCCTCCTTCCGCAGCGTGCTAGATCCAAATCTTGTCAGGCAGCGATGTTTCGTTGGGTCACCATGCTCGGTGGGTCCGTCTGCACCGAAGCATCTTTGAAGCGTTCCTCTGTTCGGGCCTGCAACCAGTAAATCTGACTTACTGCAAAGTGTCCGGTTCTGGGCAGATCATGAAAACGCTATGAAACGAAAGCGCAGCCAGAACATCAGCAATGCCTTGAATGCAAACTCCCTCGACTCTGTCACGGTGGTACCTGCACGCAGCATGGGTCCAAAGAAATCCTGTTGGCATTGTTGATTATTGTCAGACTGTCATTGTTACTCCTATTAGTAATATGAAATTTCTCTTGGTGTTCTCCGTCTTCCTGATGACCCACACTCTGGCTACCTCCATCTTCCGACCGTTTGAGCGCGGTGGCGGCTACTGTATGGACAGTCTTGCCATTCTCATAGATTTCATTTCGAACTAGCATTGCCATGCACAGGCATGCAGAGCCTCGCAGCCGAGAACTGGCACGGCTTCGGCTGTTGGGCCGTGTGGATGCCAAACTGGCGATGGAGTCGCTCGCTCGCTGCTGTCGGCTTGAACGACTCGTTGGCCTGGAACCTTTGCAGGGAATCGGACAACTTACTGCTGTCCCATGTACGTCTCTGACATTCTCTCTCCGTGAAACGCTGAACATCTTCTCCTGGATTGTCGCAACTATTCGCTGTTTGAGGGTTCGGCTTGCAGCGCGAGCTATCGTGGTGTTGCTGCAGAGGCAGAGTGGGGATTGGGCCACAGCCTGGGGTTGTATGGTTCTCTGGCATACTGGGCCGTGGAATTGCTTGAAATCCTTGCAGCTGCACCTTCCATCAAAGCATCTTCACAAGGCTCCCGAAGGCCAACTAGAAGCGCCATCGGGTTACGACCCCGCTTCCACCGGGACTGATCCACCGCTCAGCAGCGTCAGGTTCTGTACCTCTCCTGAAATTTTTAGGTTCCAGAGTTTTGGGAGTTTTGTGGGTCAAGTTTCGCCGCCCCCCCCCCCCCCCCTTTTGCGCACCGCGCCGAAATTTATCTCAGCCAGGCCGAGGAGGATGCTGCAAATCGTTTACAGCGATTCCTGCAGGTGCTCCCATGAGCATGGTGCTTACAGTGCGGCTGTTGGTTATGGTCTGTTCCACTCTCATACATAGACTTTCGTCCTATGAGGCTTTGGCTATGTACAACACGAAATCGGACGGCTGCGAATATCTCTGCAGCTGCATTGAGATACTACTTCAATCGGGTGCGGCCTGCCAAGCCGAAAACTCAGATGCGGTTCACGACAACGAGGATTTCACATATGATGGCGACGCTATCGATCTGCGAGAGAATTGCCTGCCGTGACAGGCCCACTCTAGATGTTGAACGAGATGACCACGAGTCTCCAAGTGCGATCTTGATGATGAGATTTGTTATGAGATTCCACTTCAAGATGTGCAGACGAATCTGCAGCACTTGATTCTGGTCAAAATCTTTTTTTGGATCTCTTTGCTGGCTACCGATTCTGGCCGGGCACCGGGAGTGACCTGGAAAGTGAGCCTTGTGGCAGTTGTAGTGCCTGTCCCAAACTCGGCTCCCACTGGGCACACTAAACAACGGTTGGAGATTGTGACGTGGACTCACAGAAAGAAGGATCTAACCGGTAATTAAGCATCGGCCTACATGATGCCATCTGTACCAACCCAGGCGGAAACCTGCACTTGACAAAGGCCTGGCAAATGCGGGCAGCCGAAATCTGAGGAGCCCGCTTTGCAGGTTGCCTGACGGCCGTGTCCGAGCTGGGCCTGGCGCAGGACTTTGGACAAATATAATATAATATGATATGATATGATATGATATGTAAATTTAATGTGTGTATATATATATAATGTGCCTTCTCCACAGGATTTACTTTGGGAACCAACGGTTCGATCTCGGTAACACCGACGGGCTCTTGCAAGCCTTGCAAGCCTGCCCTGTTAGAGCCTGCAGGTACTGTGATGGATAGCTGTTGCTGCAAAACTGCGGCGCGTGCCTCCTGTTGAGGACTGCGACTTGCTTCTCGCCGTCGAGGACTGTGATGCTCCGGAGGCCTTACTGAAACATCGCAGTATAACCGTGCAGTGGTGGTATATCCGAAAAGCATTCGCGCATCGGGCCTGAACCCTCTGTGCGTTCACTCTGTGCGGCGAGCGTCTGTGGCGGGTCGTCGGCCAGCACCTGCACTCCTCGCCGACCTCACCGACGCTGTTCCAACAGCTGCAGTCGTCTCCTTGCTCGCCACCTGGCGCCGGCATCTCAACTTTTGCCAATGTCAGGTTGACTCTAGAAAGGCCCAGGCCCAGCGGACACTAAGTAGAGCAGCAGCTGCTTGGCTTGTTCCTGCCTCCTCCTGCTTGCGCCGGCTGGTGTCCAGGCGCCACTGCAAGAGTGCACACCTCAAGGAGCGCACATCCCTACCATGCTCACAGGCTGCCTGCTCTCGGCATCCAAGCTTCGACCCCGCACCGGCAGTGACGAGACGATCTGGACCAGCCCAAGCAAGACCAGCAATTCGAGAGCAATGGCCGAAGTGCTCCTTCAGAGGCTGTTGTCGTCTCAAGCAAGACCAGCTAGCCCGCAGCTCAATGCCATTTTCACACGCCATGCCAATCCCCTGCAAATTGTACTCTCCTTGGCCAAAGCATCGGGGATAAAGAGCGGAAACCTGTTGCAAGACAAGGCATCACCATGCGGATTCGCTCCGTTCGTTCATCATTCTCTGATTCCGGGGCTTACTTGAAGCATCGTGGCTCTCTGGCCTTTGCAGCTTGACGAGGCCGTCCTCATCCCCAACTGCCATGAGCTTGGCCACCCCCTGCGACTCGGCGATGATGGCCGTGCTGGACTTGTAGCCTTGCAAGGTGCAGAGTGAGGATCAGAACGCATCGACCGCATCGAGGTAACTGACAACACCAACATCTTCGCTCTCGCAAGATCCCAAGCGCTGTCAGCCTGCAGAAAAATTTAAGAACAGCACAGAGTCGTGCAGTCAAGCGGCTGTCTTTGTTCCAGGCACCCCACATAGCCCAAGACATGGCCAACCTCTGTTTCAGACAAGCCTTCCCCGACGACTGAAGCAATGCACACGCAGACGACAAGTTAGCATGACGGAGTGTTCTGAGTCATGCGGAAAAGCCTGAATCTGTGCCCATTTCCAAACCAAACATCTGCAGGGAAGTTCGCCGGCACTGACTTGCCGGTTTCCACATCCCAACACAGAATGGCGCTATCCTTGGCTCCGGTGGTCACAGCCAACTGAGCACTAGCAAGCTTAAGCCCACACATTGCTCCAGCCAGGGGCGGGCATTGCTGGCCAAAGCAGAGCCGTCCTGCAAAGAAGGCCCGCGCTGCGAACCGGTACAAGGATGACTGAATGCCTGCGCAATCAACAAGTGTCCTTCGCGAACTGCAAAGACAAGACGGCACTCGCGTTGCCCTGCAATACCTTGAGAGGAGCCAGCTGGAAGGTGGAGCCATTTGTGCCTCCAACTAGTGGTCGACGCACTTGTAGAAGTTGAACCCGCCCGTCCCTATAGCCGACAGCTAGCAGAGCGCCAGGGCCGGGCGAGAAGCAGAGAGCCGTGACGGCGGCAGTTTCCGGAAGTCCGAGGCTGCCCATATCAAGCTCCGACATTCTCCCGGCCTCAAGATCTCCGATGATCAGGCATCGCAGGTGGCCACTCTCAAGGCCTACAGCCAGCAGCAAGCCAGTGGGATCCCATGTCATAGCTGTCACCGCTGCTCGGAATTGATTGGCAACATCCATCAGTCTTTGCACGTCTAAGTCAAAGAACATAATGAGGCCATTGGAGTCCGCAACGGCCACTTGGTTCGGATTTCGCGGGTTGACGCAGAGTGCCTTAACCTCTGCCCTACCAGAAGGCGACTGCTGCAACAACTCTGCGGAGCCGTAGCCAGCGCCCACATTCATCCGTATTCGGCAAAGAGCACCGTTGACAGTTCCGGCTAAGATCTGTGGGCCTGCCGTTGACTCAATCTGGGTGGCTGTGGCGAAATCCAAAATATTCCGAGCCAGCCCGGCCACCTTCATCTGCGTAGATGAGAGATCAGAACGCAATAGCAGAATGGACTCGCCAGAGCCACCACAGACCACATCCCCTGACGACAGTGGCACCAAGAAGCGAACCTTAGTCTGTTGCTAAGCCATCTTCGGCGCATGCTCGGCACAACACTACAGCCGAAACTCCGAGTCCTAGATTTCTCACCGTTCGACCAAGGCCTGCCTGCAAAGGCCTTCTACGTTGTTGAATCTTTGTCTGCCGGCCTCGAAGGTGGTAATTGCAAGCCCGCGCAAACAAACGGGCCCATCAGCAGAGAAGGCTTCAATCACAAAGACTCCTGATGCACTCGGCACACTGCTTCGTGTGACTGGGGTGGAACCAGTACAGTCGCATGGTGGCATAGAACATTGAGTGGCAGACATGATCATGCCATCGACAGCAACTGCAGTGTACGTATGCACTATGCATAGGCAGTGACACGAGCTCGGCTTTCCTCCATCCGTTCCAACGACCGCCAGATCGGATGACCCCGAGATGAAGCAGCCTGGGGCACGGGTTGTTCTGATGAGGAGCAGATTGTTGAAATTCAGCTGACATCAACCAAGGCATGTGGCACAATATCACTACGACTAGGCTTTGCTATGATGTGACTATGACTCCATGTTGTATGAGTTTGACCGGCACCTGTCTTGAAGCCGTAAAAGGGGCCACCAGCAGTGTCGTGCGGAGGTGGAGGTGTCGGCGTGAGTATCTTGGCGCCCTGAGCAGCATCTTTGGCGGCCCAGCTGCAGGTGATGAAGTAGACATTCCGACCACCGTAGGCCATGACGCGTGTGCCTGTGCAGCTCGGCCGCGGCAAAAAACAAAGCAACGAAACGATATAAAAGCCAATGAAAGACTGCTCCGAGTTGCTGTCTGTTGGGTGCGACACCAAGCGGACTTTCTCCCTGATGGGCAAACGGGTCTGCGGCGCGCGGATCTGACGAGCCGGACCTTTGGACGGCATGTCGTCAATGCGCCAAGCGCAAAGGGGCGAGGTATTGGCCTTAAGCTCGTTCTTCGAAGGCTTTTGGCCGCGTTCTTCAGCTGCAACAGACAGCAGCCATCGCCCGTCTGCCGAGAAGGCGATGGAGTAGATGGCCTGATTGTGCCCTAAGATCTGTTGCCTCATGCTTGGAACTGGAAGTTCCTCCGCAGACCAGAGTAAGATGTTCGCGGAGGTTTCCCCCGGTGCCATCTTCTGTCCCGTCGCGATCCGCCGTGACCGACTGCAGCATGCCATTGCCGTGATCTCGGCTGTATGCCCCTGAAAAATCCGCTGCTCCTTTTTTTCGTCGTCCCATACCACCCCCAAGGCAGCCACGCTATAGCAATAAGACAGCTTGCCGAGGTCGTACAGGTTTTGGCATCTTCGGCCATTAAAGCCATAAGCATACTCCAGCGACAAGCCTGCCTCTGGCAAAGCCCTCAGCTTTCTTTGCTCTGTTGCATCCTTGGCCACCCGCTCAAGCTTTTCTGCCTCGCTTTGCGGGATGTGGAGAGCAGCAAACCTGCCCCCAATCCGAGCACGAACTGTGTTGGCTACCAGGGAAGCCTTTGTTCCAAACACGCTTTGGGAGCCAACGCGGCCCTTCGGGGGAGAAGTGCTGCGATTCTCACTCATCCTGAAAGCCGAAGTTCCCCCAACAGGGCATGGGCGGCGATTCCTCGAGAGCGCACATGGAGGCAGACCTACCGCTACCTTGCAGCTTAGAGCATGCATCACTGCATCATTGTACAGAATCACCCTTTCCTGCATCTATCCTGCTCTGTCAAGCCCACCGACCACACCATGCAACGACCATGGAAGAGCATTCTCCGAAGCTGGAGCACTGACATGCTGAAGTCTGAAGCTTGAGAGGCAGGTAACGGCACTGTAAGAGCTAGCCAGCCAGCTGTGAGTCTGCAAACTCTCGCACCATGCCATGTCGTGGACACAGTAAGATGCATCTCGACATTTCATCAATTGGAACAGTCCGGTTGCGATTCAAAGTGCCGAAGTAATGTCATGTGATGTACCTGGACGAAGTCCGGAAGATGTGTGCAAGACGCATTCGAATTGAGTCACGCCCGTGTGCTCTGCATCCCGTTGTACACACAGTCTGCCCACATTTCTTCTGATGCTAGCCTACCTGAAGGCTGAACAAGTCCATGAGAGCGCAAGGTACCGGACCCGTACAGCTGTGCAAAGCGGCGACGTTGCAATCTGCAAAATGCAGACACCGCCGCACTGCAAAGCGATGCTGGAACAAACATTGTCCATCTACTTGGACTGCCATCCTCGCTGGCGACGATGGTCCTGCGGGTTGCAGTTTGCCGCAGAATCTGGAAGCCTTGGAGCCTTGAAAACTTGCCTGCTCCCGTCGTTTTCCAGGGTTGCCATGGTTGCCGTTGCCCCTCTCAGCCTGCCATGGCAAACGGAAAACACAGTGTACAAGAACTACAGTGACCATCTGTTCTACATTCCGGACAGGCCTCCCGCTGCTCCTGATACATTTTCCGCAGCGCCGCCCGTGGAGCTCGGCCATTTCCTGTACCAAGGACTCCCTTCAGATTGACATTGGTGTTGTTAACAGCATATTTCTGCACCCTTAAACACAAGAGATTGTGCATCTTCTCAACGACGGTCCTTTTCCGCCGTTGCTGCGATCCTGCACACCCCGTCGAAGGATGAAACGAAAACTGATGAGACACATTTCTGCCTCTTTTGGTGGTGGAGATGGCGTGGACGACGAAGATGAGCTGGTCGATGAAATGACAGTAACCTGCAAAGAATACAGCCCCCTTTGACCAAAGCTTGCACTATACCACAAAGGACGCTTCTGGTGCTAGGAAATATCCTGCGCTGCAGCTGGTGCCTCGTCACTGCCCTTACGAGCTCGCATGGGTGGCCTTTTGCGCGCTGGTGACTGCAATAGTGCGATTTCCGAGTGAGGCTCGGGTGCCGGCCGTTGCTGCTTCTTGCCCTTCTCCTTCCCTTTTCCCTCATGGCTCCGTCTGCTCCATTCTCTTTCCTGCTAAAGCAAACAACAAGGCCTCAGCGCGACTTCTACACAACCACTGAGCACGACCGAACAAGCGAGCGGAGAGAAAGAGGCAGAGAGACTGAGACAGAGAGAGAGAGAGAGAGAGAGAGAGACAGAGAGACAGAGAGAGAGAGAGAGAGACATAAACACGTGCATGAACAGAACCCGGCCTCCCATCCACGCCATTCGTTCCAGTTCTTGTTTGTCCAGTTTCCGCGCTGCGGCTCCCAATCAGCCCAGCTTCCACCACCTTCTTCCTCCCAGCCCTCCCACTGTCCCTCCTCCCAGCGCTCCTGTGGTCTGGGCCCCGACGGCCCGGGCCAGTGACGCTTTGATTCCACCTCCCAGCTCTCAGCGCTACCCCATCCATTGCCTCCGCTTGGATCGTTTCCACGGCGCTTGCCTTGACCCTCGCGGGCCTCGCGGCCCTCGCGGGCTCGGGACTCGGGAACTTCATCGGGCCAGCGAGCCTGTGGATAGGCTCCGGGGCCCTGCGCAGGTGCTGACATATGCGGTGCCTGGGACTGGTAGTGCGACGGCCGTCCTTGGTACTGTGCCGGGTAGTGCTCCTGCGGTCCGTGTGGTCCTTCCCAGTGTGGCCCCGCTCCTTTGTAGCGTGCTTCGGGGCGAGATCGAAGTTCTTGCTGAGGGCCCTGACCATGCATCTGAAAGCCTTGCGGCGGGGAGCGATGGTCACGTGGTGGAGGGCGGGGAGGTCCCGGAGGTCCAGGAGGTCCCGGCTGCTTTTGACTGGCTGGCATGGGGATCGGTGCCTGGCTCTGGAGTGGTGGCGGCATTGCACTCTGTCCTTGCTGTGATGGGCTTGCCTCAAGCTGCCAGGACTGACCGGGCTGGAACACCGGCGCTGTAGCGGACAACCTCTTCTTGTTGGGATCGGGTGGTGGGCCAGGGGGCTCTTGCAGCACTGCCGGCGGAGGAACATTCGGCCTCAGGCACAAGGCCAACAACGAAAAGTAGTCTCACTGATGGCCAGCATGCTCAGTCTCGGACGGGCGTGGCCCTCGATTCAATGTCTGTGGCCATAGACCCTGCTGCTGGTGCCACTGCAGCTGCTCGTGCTGCACTTCCCGCGTCATTCGTCGAGCTTGGATGCGAGAAGGCCAGCGTGGCTTCTCAGGGGCATCGTCCAGCGGTGGTGGTCCCAGAAGATTTTTGCGAGCCTGGCCACTGCACCAGCGCAGAATCCACACTCAGCAGAAGAAAAGCGGCCTCTTGCGTCTCCACCAAAGCAGCCTTGACCCTGCACAGGGTACTAAAATTCCTTGCGCTGGAACGTGAAACCTCATCCGGCCTGCCCGCGATGGCCTGCGCTGAACTCACTCGGCGCTCTCCTTGGCTCCTGGACTGCTTTGGCTGCGCTATGCTGCCCTGCTACAATCAATAGCCCTCCCATTTCTCTGAATCAGTTCCCACCTGCTCTCACTGGGGTGAGCAGCGGCTGGAGCAGGCAGCTGTGGCTCCTCTTTCTGCTCCTGGTGGAAGTGAACAACAGTCGGACGGACGATTTCTTTTTTCACAAGGGACTCGACTGCTGCCCTTACTGCCCGACTTACAATTAATGGGATGATGGACGATGCCTGCATGTAGCTTGGCTTCTCCGGCATGCTCCCATGCTCCTGAGCGCCCATGGAGAAACCAAGGCAGGAGGCGACTTCTCCCTGACAGGCAGCACAGCATAGCGCTCTCCGGCACAAGCCACTCGCACGATCAAGAGCCTCAAATGCATCGGGTGTTCGCTCAATTTGATCAATTTGATCCATGGTTTCCGTACCTCAATCCAGAATGCAAGCGACCTGCGTGTGTGAATGCCAGCTCCGTGTAAGTAGGTACCGCACTTCCGAAGGACAGGGCGGTCAACGGCAGGGACAGAAACCTCTAAATGCACAGTCAGCGCAACGTCTGGGTTCTCGACAGCTGGTGTGCCATTCCTGGCCTGTTCCCCTGCTGTCTGAGCTCCGTCTGTGTGGGAGCGTGCACGACCTCCGACTGCGCTGGGGGACCTTCCATTGTCTCCGGCTGGTTCTCTGCAATCGCCGTCTCAAGGGCATCCAAAAGCACGAATCCGGCGAGGTTTGGGTCCAAGTTAAACTCCTCAGAGGGGCAGTGGCATTTGCATGCATTTGCAATCAACGCTAACGGTGCATGGCTGGCCTGGACCAGAGTAGAAGCCTTCTTGGGAGCATCGCATGTCGAAGGCGTGGGTTCCACAGGAATTTCTGGCTCTGCCGTCATCATCGGCACTGCCGGCTCCGACTCAGCTTGTCCATCTGATAGCACCTGGACGGCTAGCGGCTGGAGTTTAGATGTTGGGTCATCCCGCAACGTCCCGTCCTCTTCGTCATCGTCCACCATATCTGCCCAACTGGATGATGGCAGGCGAGTTCGTTGTGGGGCCATAGCTGCCGGAGTGGGTTGCTGGCTTGCCGGCGTCATCGGCAACTGGCTGCTTGCAGGAGTTGCTGGCATCTGTGGCTGGCTCAGTGGAGTCACAAACCCAGTTCCCGCTGGAGAGGATGTGTAGTTCTGGTCCAAGTTCTGGTCTGACCTCGCAGACAGCAGCTTCACGGAGTGCAAGGGTGTCTGGAAGGCCAGCCGAGGGTAGCACGAGGTATCGACAACAATCTCACGATGATCCTCGACAGAGTCCTCGACAATCTGCTGCACGTCCCTCGCCTGTGGCTTCCCTGTCAAAGCACAGCTGCACATGCTTGTGCCACATGTAAATGCCAGCACCAGCCACCCTCATGAGGCAGGGTGAGCCTTTGTCATTCACTGCCACAGTGAAGCTCACCGATGTCCCGACCTCCCATTTGCCCGCATAATCCTGAAGTGGATCGACAGACAAGGCCGAGAAAAAACAACCGACTCACGCGTGTTTCGGTCTGTTGAACCAAGCATAGGCCAGAGTAAGCACGAGGCCCCGTGAGTCACATACACGTCTCGTGAAAATGTCTCGGATAATTCTGGGCATGTAATGAAGCCGTACCTCGCCAGGTGGGTGAATAACGCAGCCGCATTCCCAGGGTGATCTGCACTGAGCGTCCGGCATCCCGCCCACAGACTTCAGCTTCCCCACATATCGTTTTGTTTCCTGCTCCGGCCTGGCAAAGATCGATCTGCAGGGAGACTGCGACGCAAAGTCTCGAAGTCTCAGCCCGACACGTTGACATCTGGAACAGTGCTAACCAAGGATTAAGCGGTTCACATCTGTCCACTGCGAACTCTGCTTGAGCTGGAGGCGGCGAGGTCGAGCAACATGCTTATCTGGACTTTCGGGCTGGCAGAACCCGGCAGCGATTAGCAAATGATTTATCGTGCTCTTCCTGATTTCCTGAGTCCTGACGAGCCTACGAAGCAAACCCGAATCTCATGAACTTCGCGTCTCACCCTGGCGGCGGGTAGCCCGCATGCTGCTGGTACTGCGCCTTGTTGGCAGATCTCTCGTAACAACGAAGCGACTGCTGCTGGTGACCCGTGGGCGTGTTCGTCTCAGGCAAGCACTGGAGGATACATACCTCGGCCATTCGTCTGATAACACACCCAATGGGCAAAGAGGCCGGGGAACTTGTAGCGAATCGAGTCTCCTGAGGTCGCAACCATAAAAAGGAGGAGCTTGGGTGTGGGCCTCGATTGTTCATGCGAGATCTGCAGCCCACGCTGGAACAGCCTTTGCTAGGCAAGCCACCGGCAAGTGAGGCGGAGGAAACTGACCAGGCGGTGGTCGGTAGTCCTCAACGCACCATCGAGGCTCTGGAAAGTCGCGTCTTACAGCGCGCAGTCAGCAAGCCAGTCCCAGCCAGGCGCAGCCGGGCGAGCTGGGCCTGGCACACTGGGCGGGGCGGAGGGGTGGGATGGGCGGGTCTGCGAGCGTTTGTCGGTCTTCGCCTCCTGCAGTGAAGGGCGAAGTCCCGGGCCCTTGGCCTGCAGTCGAAGCCGGAGCTTTCACCGCACCGACTAAGGATCAGCGAGCTGACAGCGGAACCGTTCAACTGCAGTTTACGTCTGCGATCTTTATCTGGCGCCCGGGCTGTGAGACGACGTGGCACCGCCCTGCAAGGACGATGCCTGCACTCTGGCACGGTGTAGGACCAAGATGCAGTAAAGTCTAACACTCAGCGGTCTCCTTACAGCACAGCATAGTACAGCACGATGTACTGAGGGTGACGCTCAAAAAGTAGCGTCCTCGGCTCTGCAGGTCCCGGCCTCTTCGCGCGGGGCCCAGCTCCCGGGCGGCGCCTCCAAAGGAGGAGCCGCCTCCTTAGCTGCGCATAGCGGGCAACGGTGTCTTTGTTCATGGCATCCGTGATACGATCTGCTCAGAAGGCACTGATGTGTTGAGCATTGTTGAGCTGTGGTGTGGCCAACCATGACAGAAGAGTCTTCTGAGTCTGATGGCACGGATCGTCGGAGGCGCCTCACGACCTGGCAATGCAGCTTGATGGCCTCATGTATGCTGTAGACCCTGAGGCCCGGTGGCAACACCATATGTCAGACCACATGACAATTGCAGCTAAACTGCTAAACAGTACAATAGTGGCTGCTCGCAAACTCCAGCCTCGGGACTCGCTTCGCCGGGGCCTCAGTGGAAGAATGTGAGAATGTGAGCTGCCGCGATGCCAGAAACTATCACCACGTCGGCACCTTGCCGGAACAAGGCTTCCCACTGTGGCGAGGACGGCTGCACTGTGTCGGGAAAAACCGGTCGAGGTGACCAACTCCGACTGCTGCAGCCATAGGAATAGCCTTCGGACAATGCATCCCGCGGCGGGGAAAACAACAAGGCACTGCATTCATCTTGACACCCCTAAGATCCGGGCTGTTGTAGCTGTACATGCTGTAGGAGCTGTAGCAAGAGCAGCTTCGACTTCGACTCCGATCGAAGTAGGCCTAGATCCACAGAATCGAAACTTGAATGTGCGCCCCATCCAGCCTCACATCAACGCTTCTGTCTCGAGGTTTGTTGATAGTTGCAGCACACTCCGCGGCAATTCGTGCATGCAAACATCGCCCAATGCTGAGCAGCAAGCCGTGTGGGTTGAAAGGCGTGACCTCTCCTGCATGCCACTGATGTGTGTTCAAGCCCCGCTTTATGCGGATACGCGCAGTTTGTCTTGGACGCAAAGCTCCGCACTGTTGCATTCTACAGTAGTGGTCTGACCATACATGCAGGTGGGACAACAGAAGGCTTATCAGGGGCTGCAGGACTGAAAGTCCTTATCAAGCAGCCCAAGTCGCCTCGAAAGGTGTGGGTGTTGGCCTGCTAAGCCTTTAGCGATCTCCAGCGCTTTCCGGGCCAAAAAGAGCAAGGTACAGTGACGGGAGCACGATGCCCCGCCCATAAATATCAAAAAACGGTGCAGCTCTGAGCTCTGTGGCCAAGCACGAATCAAGCTTTGAGGCCAAAGTTGGGAGCGGCCACGTATTGTCAACCCAGCAAAGACTTGTCAGAACAACGCTCCGAAAGCAAACTCGGGAGAACCACTGCGATCTTGGAAGCTGGAGTCGGAGACCGGCACAACTTTGTTGATGTAATGCTAGTTTGGCATGTCTCAGGAAGAAGCCACAATGAGAGATGCAATCAGAAATCACCGGCGGAAGCTTGCACCCCAGCCTCCGGAAGCTCTCTCCCGTTGGGCTGCGTCTGTTCGTTTTCCGGTACCAGCACCTGTGTGCCAATTTAGAGTTCGTGATGCTACATCACTCGGAGAGCGAGCAAGCGATCGAGCGAGCGAATTTGCAACGTGCAAGGCTTGGATTTGGATGTGTAGAGACAGGCAGCATACCGTGTACACATGGCGCGCATGGGGAGGCATCAAAATCCAGTGGAGTTTGTACAGAGGCGTTGCGGCTTGAAGATCATGAGTCATAAGAGTCGCGGGCTGGTCCTGCCGTCTACTTTCGTAGCCCCTGCACATCTTGCCGTGTCCTACTTCTTTCGTCTGCTTCCAATAGCTAAAGTTCGTTCCTTGCGATCCACGATTGGGTGAAAACTGCATAGGAGTGGAAGTCCCCGACCCTGTGCTCTCCCCACAGAGACCTCTCGCTCTCTCTCGATTGACCTCTCCCAGCAACATGCCCGGCTCAACTTAGCCGCTGCCTTTGCTAACAGCTGAATCCTCAAGAGCCTGCCCCTTGGACCCAACACGACGAATTCACACTGCGCAACAGTCAGTCGTTGGCAACACTTTCGCTCTGGTCTCCTAACTCTGCAGAGACCTACTCACCCCTCCACTGCAGCCCCTGCACTTGAGCTTCCTGCATTGTCTTATCTCCGACTCGCGCTGCGAAGAACATGCTCGTACAAGTGCGTCTGTGTCTACACATGCGCATAGAGCGAGACGGAGAGAGAGACGGAGAGATTGAGAGAGAGGGAGAGACATTCAAACAAAGACGCACCCTCCAGAATGCAGTGCAGCACGCGGCACATCACCTTTTTGCTTGGCACAGGCAAAGTCACATCACAGGTGCTGAGCAGAGGATCAAACTCCCAAACAGCACATCAGCTATAAGGGAAGGAACAGTCATTGAACCATGTCTAGGTCTAAGCAGCCTGGTTGGCAAGAAATGAACCACTTCTTTACGGGGCAGAGGAGCTCAGAGCATGGAGTCTGAGCTTTGAGGTAGATCTGACAGGTCCGCGACTTTCCCCATGATGGACCTGTAAAAGGCCCGGTTGTTCTTCAAGCCAGAGGGTACAGCTTCCCATGGTGCAGGCCCCAGGGCTTTGTGATGCCAAAACATTCGTCCCCCGGGACCCCGCCGACAGATCCATCCATCCGGCGCCTGTTCTGGTGACGGCAGTGACGGGGGTTCAGGCCGTCGCAGCAGAGTTGGCAAATTCAATGAAGTGTCTCCATCCTGTTCAGCCTGGTCTTCGGCACAGTGCTCTGAACACACTCGCCGTCCCTGCTCTGAGCTGCAGCATTCAAGCCACCATGGTGGCCGCGTGGTCGCTTCCGATCTTCGCAAGGACGGCTTCGTAGCGGCGGTTATGCTTGCGGCGGCTGCTAACACTTCTTTGGGATTTGCATCCAAGGCGAAAAGAACTGCAATGGAACCGGCTTCGGATGCGTCTACTGCTTTTAAAGTGACCATCTGCACCGAACTTTGGTATCGGAACCTCTCGCCAGGCTGCGTGGGATTGCATATAGGCAGCACATGCCGGAGAAGATCTGCGGTAGCCACAGCGCGAATATCTGTCGGAAGTTTCACTGTCACTACACCCAGCGAGAGGCCACTTTGGACTCGAAGACGAAAGCTCAAAGCTGAGTGCGCGTTCAATTCTTCCACGGAGGTTGTGAAGGTCAGGGTGTCATCAAAGCGCCACGGACACTCTTGCCCGCTTGGTATCCAGCAGGTTGCTCTAGAACTGCCTGCGGCTTCATCCCATGTCGCAACCTTCGTCTCTTTGCAGATATCTCCTAAGCTCACGAGTTTGCACAAATCATGGCCATGCCTTAGGTTGCAAATGAGGTCTCCCGCAGACTAGGCACTCTCACATTCCTGACATGCGCACGTCTCAGCACCCCATGCAGATCCCAGACTGCGACAGTCAAGGATTCAGTACAGGCGTGCCCTGGACGACAGTGACCCACAATGGCATAGACTCCAAGCTGTGAAATGCCAGAAAGAACAACACCGCAAGACCACACACAAAGAGACCACTCCGGAAGAGCCCGAGTGATTAGTGAAAAAGAGAGCACAGGACTATGGCAGGACCGCAATTTCCAGTACAATGTCCCATTCCAAGCCAAAATGAGTCCCCACTCTTAGCGGAGCAGAACTTGTGAAGTTGGAGAACCTGCCGAAATGCTGGAGTTCACAATGAACTTGGCAACCCGGGACCGGCGATACCGCCACTTTGGTCCAAAATGCGGACGGCGACGCAACGGGAGGCAGAAGCTAGCAGCTTTATCCTCTGTAACTACAAACACAACACCCCCTCTAGTGCTCCCGATTTGGGGAAGCACATGCAATAAGACCTCTAATAAAAAATGCTCAGAATCACGATATACATACGTATTAAAAGAACATAAAACTGTGATTATTATCATTGCTAACATAATTGTTATCATGATTAGTCTTGCTCTTATTATACTAACGATGGCGGAAGTAGCAACAGTAGCGACAGCAGTAGCAGTGGCAGCAGCAGCAGCAGCAGCAGCAGCAGCAGCAGCAGCAGCACAGTACAGTAGCAGTAGCAGTAGCAGTAGCAGTAGCAGTAGCAGTAGCAGTAGCAGTAGCAGTAGCAGTCGCAGTAGCAGTAGCAGCAGGAGCAGCAGCAGGAGCAG